AGAAGTGCTATGAATTTTTTTCAGTTCTGTAGATCTTATATATATCTATATAAACTCTGTATGTCTGCTTTTTCTGTTGTTGCACTCCAAAACACAACAATTTAAAACCTTAATTCCAATCTCTAGTTACACAGTGAATTCTGTAACTCAAAATTACAAACTGGACAGTAAATGTTCCACTTTTCACTCGTTTGTAAAAGCCGCTCTTGCTTTAAAAGCTATAGGGTTACTTCCGAAAACGATAAATAGTGCCCTCACGACGCCATTGTTTTCGGTCTTCAATTCCTCACAGGTCACGTGGTACAGTTCCCGTTCTATAAGTGTAGAATTCTGTGTCTAGGCCACAGGCTCCTTCATCCACAACCAATGTTAACTCTTCCGGGGAAAGAGCTAAACGCTGTTTTGCTCAGTTGATGAAGAAAAAGCTGTCTTAAGGACTATTTTTAGCAAAATATTGCCGTAACTGTTGTTTCAACGAAAGTAAGGGAGGTTGCTTTAGGTTTGTGTGCCACTCTTTTGAGGCTAGATTTAAAAACAAAGTTTTAAACGATCTTTTTGTACTCCAGTGCCCGACAGCTAAAAAAAAACGCAGTGGCTATTTTTACGGCGAGCCGTAAAGATAGCCTCCCAGGCTATTTTTACGGCGTCCCAGGCTATTTTTACGGCGATCCTCGAAAAGCGACCCTACTCCGCCTCTCATGTACGCGACATGCCTCAATGTATTAGATCTAGGCCTATAGGGGTTGTTCAAAATATAAACTTACACCTCAGAGGGGAAAGGGTGTCTTTGGCTTCTGTAAGAAAAGTGTAAGATTGGGTGGGGAGGTTAACCAAATATGACACTTCTGTGAGATGAACGTTTTGCTCATGACTGGGAAGAAAAGGTAAAAGAAAAAGTGGATAAATGCCAGTAACAAGACCCAGATCTGCATGATCACCGCAGATCCCCGTTGTTTTGTTTTTTGGGGGTTTTTTTGTTGTTTTTTTAGGGGAGGGGGGGGGGGGTACAAATAATTTTGAAATTATGATGAAAATTCTGCAGGTGGATATCTAATTTCTTAATGTTTCTTTGTAACTTTGCAACTGTTTTGTTGATCTTTTAATGTCTTGATGTCTTTTATTTGTAAGGCACGTACCTATTGCATTGACAACAGTCTCAATGTCTTCCACATATATGTGTTTCTTTTTAGTCCATATGTTTTGATTAAATTGTATTAACTGAAATGATATATTATATTTTTTTACAAGCTATTTTAAAAAAGCCACGTATAGTACAGGTATCTTTAAAATAATAATGGAAGTTGAATATCGGAAGAAGTACTAATATTAAATTGGTGTAGGTGGGGGTTGGAGGCAAATGTGAGAAAAGTGGTATTGGGTTTTGTGTTTTAAAAAAGTCCCCAAAAGTGTAAGATTATATTTGAACAGCCCCATAGGTTTTCCATTTCCTCCTCTTCACCGTCATTCTATTCTCTTCTTCATCTTCCTTCTCCCTTCCTCCACCACCACCTCTTCCTTCTTTTCTCCCCATCATCATCATTCACCCTCTCTTTATCATCACCACCACCATCACCTCCTCGTCACTATCATTACCATCATCACTGCCACTGCCAGCATCATCATCTCATTCACTGACATCACTACATATACCACACCCACAAGAAGAGCGGCCATTTTGGAGTTTTAACTTTTTGCCTTGGGAATGCCTTTAAAATGTTCCTCCTTCCTTTGCACTGAGCAGATTTTTGATAGAGGTGTAAAAAAATAATTTTTTTTGTGTTCACAATGATTAATTTATTAATTATTGTGATGCAATTTCAGGGTACAAGAACACATATATTTTTTTACATTCAAATATCAAAATTTTGCTCAGTACGATTGACCATAGTATCTGTATCTACCATTCCACCAATTTTCATGCAATTTTGTTAGAGAGTAAGAAGCCTTCGTTTTTTTTTAAATTATTGTTTGTTTTGCATGTTGGTGCTGTTTCCATTCCATGGCAACTTTCATACTCTCCGACTTATCAAAATTTACTTTCTTCATTATTTCTTAGGCCTGTATAATTTTTTTCCCTAAATATGATTCGGTAAAAGAATCACCCTTGGGGTGAGCTGTTCCCCGTAAAAATGGACAGTAATAATATGAGCACATCAGAAAACAAAACTCAAAAACTTTAAAAATGCGATCTATTTTATTATTTGAAAGAATCCCACAACAACAAGGTCCTAGTAAAGAACATAAAAACATTGAATTGTTTAAGTCCAGAATAAAGACTATAATTATGATAATACTAATAATAGAGGACATTTAATTATAGTGCCTTACTCTCGGTTTTAACCAACTCAAAGTATATTACATTAGTTTAGTCATTTAGTAAAATGTAGTATAAAATAACAAATAAGGTAGTAGCGTTGTAAGGCCTACAAGCCAAGACGGAATTTATAAGACTGAAATACGTGTTCTACGTCATCAGTTTGTGACCGCCGTAAAAAGAACATTTCAGTTAATACAATTTAATCAAACCATATGGACTAAAAAGAAACGCATATATGTGGAAGACATTGAGACTGTTGTCCATGCAATAGGTACGTGCCTTACAATTAAAGACATCAAGACACTAAAAGATCAACAAAACAGTTGCAAAGTTACAAAGAAACATTAAGAAATTATATATCCACCTACAGAATTTTCATCATAATTTCAAAATTATTTGTAACCCCCCCCCCCCCCCCCCCTCAAAAAAAATAAAAAACAACAACAACAAAAAAAACAACGGGGATCTGCAGTGATCATGCAGATCTGGGTCTTGTTACTGGCATTTTTCAACTTTTTCTTTTACCTTTTCTTCCCAGTCATGAGCAAAATGTTCATCTCACCCCCCCCCCCCACCCAATCTTACACTTTTCTTACAGAAGCCAAAGACACCCTTTCCCCTCTGAGGTGTAAGTTTATATTTTGAACGGCCCCTATAGGCCTAGATCTAATACATAGAGGCATGTCGCGTACATGAGAGGCGGAGTAGGGTCGCTTTTCGAGGATCGCCGTAAAAATAGCCTGGGACTCACTGGGAGGCTATCTTTACGGCACGCCGTAAAAATAGCCACTGCGAAAAAAAAACGTGCTGCCCGACCCGGTACGATTACTCTAACTAGTAGTAGATCTCTAGTATTTTGCATGCTGAACACGAATATGGCCTTCCTTTTTGCCGCAAATCAATAGTTATTGAGTTATTGATGTTTGAAAATAGTAAATTTGACTATAAATGGGGGGTTTCAGGGGGGTGAATATCACAGTGCAATGATTTGATGTTTTGGCAATTAGATCTAGATTCTAGGATTGATATTTACTTGAAAACAATTGGTTTGCAAGGGTTTTAGTGACGGAAGTGCAGGGTTGGTGATTTTTTTGATTTTTTAAATAAAAATTTAAAAAATCGATTTTTTAAATTTAAATCAGATTTTTTAAATTTAAATCGGATTTTTTTGATTTTTTTGATTTTTTTTTTAAATGTCGACACAGTTTGGGATTTTTGGTGGCTAAAAGTATGTTCTTTTAGTGCAGAATGCATTGTCTTTATTTTAACTAATGATTAATTTAAGCAACTGCAAAAGAAAGCCTTAATCTGCTATTATCAGTGAATTATGGCTATAGACAAAAAATGAAGAAAATGTCAGTCTAAAAGGAAAGGGGGGGAGGGGGTAATTATGCATAGATAAACTTGTATTTTATTACAGTGTGCGTGTGTGTGTGTGTGCGTGCTTGTGTTTGTCTAAAAAAAAAAGAAAATGCTAATTTCAATTATGAAAAAAAAGTAAATTGAATACTGTATTAATTTACTACTTACAGTGACAGGGGGGAAAGCAGACATTTAAGCAGGATTATATTAGTCTACTAAACCTTATCTGTTCTATAAAACCAAGGAAAGGAATTCTGAATGTTTGAAGACGTAAAAACAATACATTTTTAAAAAGTGATTTAAATCACTGAGTTTTATTTTTAAAATCAAGTTGATTCAAATAAAAAAAATCAACTGATTTAAATCGACCTGATTTAAATCAACCCAACCCTGGTTTTCACTTGTGAAAAGAAAAAAAATTGAATACTGTATTATTTTACAGTGACAGGGGGGAAAGCAGACTTTTAAGCATGATTATATTATTAGTCTACTAAACCTTATTATGTTTAATAAAACCAAGGAAAGGAATTCTGAATGTTTAAATATGTAAAAACAGAATACATTTTTTAAAAAGTGATTTAAATCACAAAATCAAGTTGATTAAAATTTAAAAAATCAACTGATTTAAATCAACCCAGCTCTGATTTCAATTATGGGGGGAAAAAGTAAATTGAATACTGTATTATTTTACAGTGAAAGGGGGGAAAGCAGACTTTTAAGCATGATTATATTAGTGTACTAAACCTTATATCTGTTTTATGAAACCAAGGAAAGGAATTCTGAATGTTGGAATATATGTAAAAACTAAAAACTGAATAAAAATAAATTTTTAAAAAAGTGATTTAAATCACTGATTTTTATTTTAAAAATCAAGTTGATTTAAATTTAAAAAATCAACTGATTTAAATCAACCCAACCCTGCGGAAGTGGCCTATTCTCATCCGGGGTGAGAATAGAAAAACGATCTACCTCTCCCCCTGGGTGAGACTTGCCAGCGTAGGCTATTCTCACCCGGTGCGAAACAAGACCTGCTTTTCCTCATTTTGGAATACTGTCTATCGGTGTGGATGATCAAATTGATAAAAGCCAAGAAAAAATTACGTTATAGCACAAAAGTAAGCTAATTTGATCGTCTTCAAAGGCCACCTCTATTCTCACCCGGGATGAGAATAGTGCAGGCGAGTCTTTTGGTTATTCTCACCCGGTGCCCGGTGCGCGTTCACCAAATTTTGCGTTCACCCTAACCTAAACCACAGAATTCTACGCTGTGATAACAGAAAAATTGTAGAAAATTCTGTGCCGTGCAAAAATAAAAATTTACCAAATAAGACAAGCAACATTTCAAATTTGAGATGTTTGGCGTCTATTTCGAAATTCTGGACTTTTTTCTGTGCTTTTTTTGTGTGCATACACTGGCTGTGCCAGCCAAGCACAGAATTCTAGAGTTGCAGCCAAGACTATTGTTTGTTTTTCATCCGGGTCGGGTTGCTGTTTCCGGTCCTTCTGATATGAATCATAAAAACTAAAAAGCAATGAAATAATTTCATTTTAATATTATATTTAGTAATACCGTATCACAAGCTATTTTCTCTATATTTGTTACTATTATGTTCGTATCATATTCATATAGATCTAGATCTAGATCTAGATATATTTAAAAAGAAGAGAAAAAAATAAACATTATAAATTAATTGGACACTTATTTCTTTAAAAAACTGGACGATAAATATTGACATCATAATGTTTAATTGACACATTGACAGCAATAATTAAGGCATCCAAAAATAAATTTGACAAGATAGAAAATTTCTTGCACGCGACCAGCGACATTCATGCTAAAATGATAGGAGACTCTTTGAGGCTTTCACGTTTTGAGACTATTAAAAACAAATTTAAATACATGTTAACCTCTTTATTGGTACCCGACAGCGTGGGACCTAGCAAAAATTAAAATACATTAATGTATATATACTTACTTTTACGTTTTCCTTCCTCTAAACAAATCAAATAATTACATTCATTATCAAAAATCCAATGTTACTAGCAGGATAATATTATTAACAAAATTATACTTAAAAGTGAACATAGTGCTAGAAAACCGAATATGACACGTCATGGCCAAAAATCATTTCAACAATGTGTATAAGAGGCCAAGGACCTTAAAATCTTTCTATTTAATTTATAACCACCTTGGTTGAGGCACTTAATTGGGGTCTCATTAATTTTTCAGCGTACGTTACGGATAGGCCTAGCTCGAACATAAAAGACTCCTACACTTCCCCCAAAACTCACAATAATCATCACCTATATTGTTATAGAGAGTGGCTTTAATTTTTTCCCTCGCAGGAGCTTAATTGAGGCTTCATATTGCAGTGTACAAAGGCTGAAAAAAAACAAACGTATGAGGTAGGAAACAGGAACTAAACCCAAAAAAAAATACTTAAAAATTTTTTTGCATTTGTCTTAGTCTAAGCCTGTCTTAGAAGCCTATCATGTCATTTATCAAAAATATGTCGTTGAGTTTCACAACCAGGCCTATTTGTATTTCATGGAGCTGAATTCAAATGTGCATTCTTTTTTTTAATTGAGTGTATTTTTAAAAACTGTATTTTCTAGAATGAACTAAATTAGAAACGGATTTTGAACATTCATTATTTAGGCTAACCTGGTCCTCGATTTTTCAAAGTAATGTACAATGTACTAAAGCCAAGTGCTTAACTGCTTAAACATTATTAAGAAAATTTATTTAGAAGTAAAATACGCACTATAACAGCCACCCAAGCGACCTCTCTTGGCTAATTAAAATAATACATATAAGATGTACTGAATAGCCTAGATAAAGCTCAGCGTGTAATGAACCACGGTGCAAGTGCGATTGCTTGATGGTGTCTTGAAATAAAGTAGATAAAGTTCGTTGCGACTTCACTGTATCAAAGTTCACTCATGTATGCGTTCGTTGAATCCGAGTTATTTTGTTGATTTTGATTAATTTTTCTAAGACGGGGAATCTGTCGTCTTTCATTGAATACAAGCTTTCTAGTTGAATCCGAGCTCGTTGAAACCGAGTTCCTCAATTTACATACATACGAGGGGCATAGCAAAAGTTTGTAACCTGACCATGAAGGAATAAAGGTAGAAAGCTGAAATGTGGGGTGAAAGCCAACAATCATCTTCCTAGAATGCTTGTAAATTTTTGGGAATTTCAGATTGCTGGTTTTACCACCAGCGCACTGTAGGTGAATGGGGGTATGTTGTTCACCAGTTTCAACATAAAAATTGAGAAAATTGAACACAGGGTAGTAATGAAGTATTTGTTCTTGCAAGGCAAGAAACTACAGGATATTTTTACGGAGGTGTATGCCATACAAGGAAATGATTGCCCATCCTATACTGAGATAACATTTTGGTGTAAAAAAGGGGATGATGAGGTCAAAGAAGTGGTAGAGGGTTGGTTTTCTGACATAGAGAGGGTCCTCTATTCTCAAGGTCTTTTATATATTTTTTTTTTATTATAGCAGATGGTTTTACGGCGCTCGCAACTGCATAAGGTCATTGAGCGCCAAGGGGTGGGTGTCAACAGAGACGTCTTTACAGGGAATCAGACTTAGACTGCTCACCTCTCTAGCTTCAACAG